GTTCACAGGTTCCTACTTACCTCAGTAATGGCTCCCTCAAGCACAAGCAAAGTGGCCACATCACCCCCAGCCCCCAGGGATGCTCCAGGTGAACACCACTTACTGCAGAAAGTGCCTGCCCTGAGCAGCCCAGCCCAGAGCAGCACCTGCACCAGCACCGCCAGGCTGGGACGCAGGATGGTCGTATCAGCCCGGTGCAGGGGCTGCTCCACCTCGCTGAGAGGCATAACTCCTGCCACAGGACCAGCTTGGCACTAAACTAGTCCCAGCTCCAGAAGAAACATTCGGTTTGCTACTCTAGGGCATGTTGCACTTGAGCAGCATTGCTGCCCACAGGTTTTTCCCTGATTTCACAGTCCAGAAAATGCTCTGCCCATACTTCAGGGATCTCTGATCTGTCTGTGCTGGATTAGACTGGAAATATGTGACACTGAGTCCTCCCACACTGAGGAAAAGTTTAGTTGCTCTATTTTAATGCATTCCCAGATCATGCTGACGCCTTAAATTAGCAAGACGTAAGCACACTGCATGTGCTGGAGAAAAGGTTTTTCCCTGTCCTCAGGACACAGCAACTTTCCTAAATGACCTGTTGTTCCTTGCACTTTTTTGAGTAGAAACAAGCCACAGCTGACAAAGCTGCAGCTCACAGAAGTGCTTGTTTGGTGCTATTGCTCTGATGCTATTGTGCTGCTGATTCAGAAAGTTTTCCTCAGCTTATTCTTAAACCGTTTCACCCAATTGATGATTCAGTCTTTTTGCTTCAAGCATAAATCACCTTCCAGATAAAGTCTTGCTAGAAAGCTTTCATTGGCCATAATTAAAATGAAACTCTGTGAAAGTATAAACAGGCGGATCAGCAAGGAAAAATTGGGCTGAGATGTGTGAACTTGCATTCTCTCTGCCCTCCTAATTCCTCAATTTATCACAGGAGAAGGAGTGAATATTTGCAAGGTAGATTAATTACTGCAAAGCTTAGCCTTTGATGCTATTTTTCTCTAAACCTGTAGGAAGGCTGTATCTGGACCACATATAAGGTCATTTCAATCCTTTGAAAATGACTGATATCCCTTCAACAACAAACCTCTCGCTTTGGAAAGACCCGAGGCAAACAATCAAACTCAAGCCCAAGCTCCCCCTTTCCTGAATATCGCTCTACGCCAAACTCTTCAGCTTGCCTGATACCACCACAGACCAACTTTTCAGTCTCAGAGCTGCTTTCAGGACAGAGCAAACTCTCTCCCTTGGTTAAATTAATGCTGAATTGATCACGCACGTCTCACCCTGTGACTGGCCACAGCCACCACCGCAGCATGCTAAAAAAACCCAACTCTTCTGAACACCCTGCAACAAATATAGTAGCAGGAAGAGGAGCACTAACAAAGCCCTATTGATGCAGGGCGATCAATCACTCACAGCTCTCCAGAAGGAAACGAAGGGCCCATTAAGGAAGCAGCCCATAACCTCAACTTCCCTGTAATGGGCCCGGGTCCTAGACTGCCTGGCATCGAGGGGGCCTTGGCCCCAGGCAGGGAGCTGGTGTGGGGCTGCCTGTATCAGCAGTGGGGAGATCCAGACCCCCAGCCCTGCCCCAGTGTGGGGCACTGGGCACCCAACGGCAGCGGCCAAGGCCGGGCTCTGCTAAGCCCGAGGAACAGCCGCCTTCCCCGCTTCCTAGTTAGTTCAGGGGAGAAAAAGCACCTGCCTTTTTTCCTACTGTCATGGTTTGAGCCCGGAAGGCGACTGAGCACCACACAGCCCCTCGCTCCCCCCTTCCTCTTCAGGGATGGGGAGGAAAAAATAAAAACAAAAGGTTCAGAGGTCAAGATAAAGGGGGGAGAGGGGGAGAAGATGACCCACCATTACAAGTCATGGACAAAAGACAGACTCGTGGGGTGGAATCTGCTCCAGCGCATCTCCCCCCCTTTCCTCCCCGCAGCCTCCGTGTTGGCATAGCTGTCCTCCTTCTACGTTCCCCTTCTTAAATCTGTTATCACAGCAGCGCAGCCATCGTCACTAATTGGCTCGGCCCTGGACAGAGGTGGGTCTGACTTGGATCTGGGGGAGCTTCCAGAAGCTTCTCACAGGGGCCACCACTGTAGCCCCCTCCCCTGCTCCCAAAAACCCACCACACACAAACCCAGCACACTAATGCATAATCACAGCTTACATAGACCACATCTTGCCTTTTGTGGTCCTACAGCCTTTTACAAATCTTCATTAAGCAAAACATGGAAAGTAGGTTCACAGCTCAGCGCTGGTCCTGCATCAGGGTAATACTGGTTTCCTTGAGAAGAGCAGAAGATGGGACTGGAAATTAGCTCCACCATTGCAAAATTTTCCTGGCCAAAAACATTCTCCTCAGCAGTAGAGAACCCAAATGGTGACTCAGAGCTCCCTGAACAAGTAATGACCTCTGACACTCACCCGCTGTCTGAGCCTGAATATGCTGGCTTACTTCTGTCCTCCACAAACCAAGGACAAAGACCCTGACACATGCTCGCTTACCCCACCACTCACGTTCTGGATGCAAGAAGCAACATCTTCCAGGTGCTTCCCATATCAACCCAGTATGGGTCCGGTAAGGATCCAGGTGATTCAGCCAGCATTAGCGTGCAGTTGCTGAACTGACTGGTGCTGGGCAGGCAGAGTGGTTGCATTGCTGTTACCTCTGCACAGTCTGACAACTGCATCCACAAGCACCCACCGTGCTGGGTTTTCAGTCATTGCTGCAGCGTGGTTTGGGCTTTTGTTTCATTTTTAAATTTGATGAACTTAGAGTAGGCACAGAAGAAACCAAGATGAAAGCCAAGCGGCCAGAAAACAGCAGATGACTGAAGCTGTGAAAAAGTTAAGCGCTGCACAGAGTGGATCTCCTCCACCCACACCTTTTCTCAGCTACTAACCTGCAAAAGCACAGCCAGCTCCTCAGCTAGCAGAGCAGCGCAGGGGGGGGGTGACACAGTGTGCAGGGCAGGGCCAAGGGAGAGGGGGCAGAGATGGCTGCGGGCACTGGTTACACGAACAGCATCTGCCGAGCGCCCTGCGGCAACGCCACACCACGCTGATCGCCCTCCACCCAGGCAGCAGACTGTCCAGAGACCCTCGTATCTGTCAGACATGAACCCACAAGGCATCAAAACCTAAGTCGGGGTCTCAGACAAGGCTTGACATTACACAACAAATACTGAACTTCATCTCACCCAGGCATCTGTTTCCAATTAGATTAATGGCTATCTAGAATGATAATACAATAGTTTTCAAAGCAACTCCCAAAATCAATACCCCAATAGTAAGCTCTGGTTTTCGCATGTGGTACAAAAGGCAGTCTGGGAGAAGATGATCTAATTCACCATGTATTGATTAATCAATTCCAGCCAGGATGCTAATGGGCTTTTCTTACAACAGTTGGCACTAGAAGGAAGAGGTGGGATTGTTGAATGAGAATAGGAGAAACTGGTTGTGTGCTGAAGTTTCAGGGTGAGGGGAGGGCACGCAGTGGGGAAACAAGCCCTTCCAGAAGTTGCTCTAAGTGGGCAGAGACTGGGAAGAAACGGAAGAACTAAGCAATGAATGGAAAAGCTAATAAATCAGATATATTGGCTTCAAACACAGTAGAATTGTACCTTGCAATTTACTGTGGTTGATATTAATAATACTTTCTTGTTGCTACAGAAACGCTCACAGGAAGGTCTGCGAAAGAGCCCAGCATGGGTCTAGAGTCTATAATGAAGTAGACTGAACACTTTGTAGCCCTACCAGCCAGTGAAATGGTCTGGAGGCATTATTAATGTCTACCTTAGTTATTTTTCCACATTGGCACTTCTGGCTAGGACAGAGTGGGGTAATTCAGATCATCTGTGCACAGCCGTCACATTGTCCTTCCTTCTACAGTCAACAGAAAGAAGCAGCCAGTGTAGCCATACATTGCTAACTGTTAACCATCACCACTCATTCTCCCATTCCTGCCCCTGTATGTGATAAAGTCCTTTACTACCATAGAAAATGGAAGTGCAAAACAGCTGGACCATCCTCCAGACCCAAACCATAGCACTTTACACCCACTGCAGAAACATGTGAAGATCTAAGAAAAACACAAAGATGGGGAGAACCAGTCTGCAACAGATACACAGGTCCCTTACAGCTCCCGAAGAGCAGCTGTCACACTTTGCAATGAAATATGAAACAGATGCTGGAAACCAGTTGAAGGGCTCTGTTCCCAGCCTGTTAGCAAGGGTTAGGTGCTTGTCTCTCAAGACACCTCAAAAGGGCAGGTATAAATTACAGACACAAACAAGAGCATTACACTGCCTGAAAGACAGTGGAGTCATTTCGTTGTTGCTAATTGGGTGAGGTTGCCCTGCTCTTTGTAAAATTGGAAATAGTAAAACTGACCAAGAGGCTTTGACCTTGACTGGCTGTGACAGACAATTTGCAAAATTGTACTGAAGTTGCCAAAACTAGTACTGGATCCTGGTGCTAACATCCAGCTGATGCTGTTCACTGATGTACATTACAGGTTTGATCACAAAGGCTAGACCCAGTCAAGATAGGAAACCTCTAAGTGCAAAATATTAGTGAGTCTCTGGTTTTGCAACCCTATATTGTGTAGTTTGGTAACTGAATTCCTACAAGATGTTGTGAGAACATGCTCTTACTCACCTAACCCATCCCACAGCAGAGTGCACCAGCACCCGGGAGCGACACACACCAATTCTTCCACATGGCAGCACCACACTGCCGCAAGACATCATGTTGCAGGTACGCAAGGCTGCAGCCTCGAACCACCACAGGCCACAACAGTGGTTCAGAGGCTCTTACAGGACCTGCAGAACAACCCTCAAGAAAATAGGAACAATCCTTCTAAAAAGCAGGGTGAGGGTTTAATCAAGAGGGGAAAAAATGCACTAACTAAATTACATTTTTTCCAGAACAAAGTTTTCCAAACTAACACAATGCATAACAGCACCACAGGAGTCCTTGAGCCCCATCAGCAGACTCACATTGTAGAGGATGTCTGTCCATCCCTCCATAGTGATGCACTGGAAGACGGTGAGCACAGCAAAGAGGATGTTGTCAAAGTTGGTGATGCCGTAGTTGGGCCCTTGCCAGTACTCCCTGCAGGTGGTCCCACTCTCACACTGCCTGGCCGGGGGCTCCTCTCCGCAAGGAAAATCTCCCACCTCATCACCTACAGAGAGCAACAGCAGGAGAAAAGTTACCAACTGATGCCAGTCAAGCAGCTGGTGCTGCTGCATCACCCTGGCACCACTGTGTGAATATAATTCAAATTTCAGGCTTCTTTGTGCCACTGCGGGCATGTAAAAGGCATTACGCCCATGTAAAAGACATTATGCCTATGTAATCATTTATATACTCCTATGCTATAAGAGACAGTTTAGAGGCAGGGCAGAGCAGAGCCATCCCTGAAGTGTCCGTAACTGATAGTTTGCCCCAGACTTGAGCCATATCATATATGAGAAACACCAAAAAAACACAAACAAACAAAGAATCGAAACACATTGTGGTAAAAACAAGGGCTTGGGAATGGTGTATACTTCAAATACTGTGAGCCTGCGATATACTCAACCCTCATACAACACAGCTAAATATTAGCATCATAACATTAAAGCAAAAGGGCAGGTTCTCCAGCAGTGGCTTAAGCGAGAGCTGCTTGTGGATAGCCCCAAAATTGTCCAGATACAGATGTTCGACCCCAGCAGCATGAGGAGCCCCCCGCTTCGCCACAGGGCAGTGCCACCGCAGCAGCCCGCGAGGTGGACTAAGAGCTCCAGCCCCGCTGAAAGCTTCGTATTTCTGCCCCAAAGGGCAGAGCTGTGGCGTGCAGGAACACGTGGTGGGGAAAGCATCCAGCTCTCAGCTCCTCTGCAGCAGGGATGGAGTTTCTCTGCTGAGTTTCATTTCAGACGCAGAGAAGGCAAAGCAGGACGAGTCTGTCCTAGTTAAGGACCACAGGGGATGGCCAGAAGAGTGGCCAGCATCTTCCAGGGTCAGCTGTGAAATCTGAAGCGTTTTGCAGCCCTCCAGAGACAATGCGAGAACCAACACAGAGCAGTTTGGAAAACTGAAGTGCTAGGTTTTCAAAGTAAATAAAAACACTAAGTAATACTCCTATTTACAGAGAGATGTGATTCCGGAAATATTAAAGGGATTTTAAAGTGACACGTTATGGTAATGGAGCAGCAAACTGCACAAAATCAGATTCACCAGGGGGAAAACAAGGTCAGCACTAATAATTATCAATAAGCATTCCATAGAGCAAAGCCTGCAGGAAGAAAACAAGATTGTCACTATGGCTCCAAGATATATATATATATATATATATATGTATATGTCTGTGTGCATGTGTGACGTGTTTTCCTGTTGACTCAACACCTTAATGCAGGGCATCTCTCTCCATCTCCCAGATGGGTCACCACAGGCTTTCACACAGGTTTAGTGAGACAAGCCTGCAAAAAGAAAATACCAAATCTGCCTCTTGCAGACCATTTGTGTGTGTGCCTTAAAAGAGAATCCAGTTTTATCTCTGGCCTTTTTTTGCCAGGTAGTGCTCTGAAAATGCAATACACTTCTACTATGAAGGGTTGGGGGGGGTTATTTCCTTTTTATAAAACAGATCAGAACTGGTCCCTACTCCCATGGCTGGGGAAGACAGAGAAAGGTGGAATCTCAAGGAAAAATGGGAAACAAATGTGATGCCCTCCTCTCCTGGAACAGCTTCAGGGCACTTGAGCTGGGTCAGCTGTGGAGGTTGTCTGCTTAAAAATAATCCTGTGTCAGCAGAACAGGACAGCATGGAGGATACAGGGAGAGGAAAACAAGTCAGGCATCCTCTAGAACATAGGTTGCCATTAATTTTTAACCATTTTTCATTAAAATAGAGAAGTGTTTCTACTAGGTCAGAATATTCTGTCAGGCTGAGTGGCAAAGGCCTTGAAGAAGCCTTTTGCCATATATTGATCCTCAGCATCCCTCCCCGTTGCAGTTTATTACGGACCTACCCAGGGCTACAGCAACATTTGCTGTTCACACCTCTACTTAGTTCCCTCCGTGATGAGCTGAAGTAACAGCCGGTACCTCTCATGTGGCTCCTGATTCCAGGAAAAATCCCAGGAGTTTGCTCAACTTTGGGGATTTGGAACAGAAACAAACATGAGCAACTCCTCCTCTTCCAATTTGCTACTCTCTGACAGAGGCATCTCTTTAATGAGGTTCACTTTTCCACACTCAAGCCAGCTTTCGGAGCCCGCGGTATCAGGCCTGGGTTTGTTAATGCACCTCTTTGCAGATGATGAGCACTTAGGTTTTAAAAGGCTCTGCTGATGGCTTTGCGGGATGCTCTGCTGCTCCACTCACAAGGGACCGCAGCGCCAGGAAACCTCACCGCTCTGCCTTTCCAGAAACACCATCGCGCCATTTCCCGCCGAGCAGGTGGAATCGATCCCCGTAATTCATCCGACAGCCGGCTCGTTAGCCCTTGAGAAGAGCTGGGGCTGGTGCCTGTCCACACGGGTGCCTGCACACACCGCCCGGCGAAGGGATTCGGGGGGAGGTGAGCACGGCCACTCCGCACCCTCCCCCCGAGATGCCGGGTGCTGCGATGCAGAGACACGCAACACACACAACAGTTCTACGGCTGCACTCCCAATGCCTAGCTGGAAGCCACCCAACAAGCAAGAGTCACTTGGACACGACATTACACACGATAAAATTCTGTTCTCAGTTCCCAAGCCTGGCACAGAGATCTTTCAGCCATCACAGATGTCAGAAGGTTGTCTGCATAGAACACAAGCAGCTTTGGGGTTTATTTTTCCCTTTTACATTAGCCAGTTTCTGCGGGGAGGAAAAAAAAAAAATCACCCTCTAGCCCACTGGCTAAAGTCGGCCCATTAGTGAGAACCCCAGAGCTCAGCCTGCAGCTGCTACCTGCAAATGAAGGATGCAAAAAATCACCTGCCTTGCTTGCAATTTAATAGACCTGAAAATGCTCCTGGAAAGTGCAGACCTGCTCATAATTGCTTTCTCCCTGCTGTCTCACCAAGAACACTTCTGCTTCCGACACAACTATACTGTCACCGTTGTTATTCCTCTGCAAATGCTGCAGTAGCCCCAGAGACCTTGCAGTGGGCAGAGACCTGTTCTGCTTGTCATGAACACACACACCCTGCAAAAAGTTTCCCTCTCCTACAAATCCAGTCCAAAAATTCATCTATTCCATGCATCATCATGCTTGCTCACAACACCTGACTGTCCTTTACAAGTTGTGTTACTTTTTTTAGCATTACATAGGAACATAAGCAAGAAAACAATTTCACCCTGCTTTTGCAAAGCTCTCTGTAAACTGAATATATTAAACTGTTCCCATGTTGTTGTTAGAAAGCACTGTGAAGGATGCCCAGAGATTTGGCAGGGATGTTGTTTTATTACCATTTGAATGCATATAAATAAATCAGTATTAAGACCTATTAGTGATAATCACTGAAAATACAAGACTGTGTTTTAAAGACAGTCAATTGTACCTTAAATTGCAGTCTTTTTGAGACAAAAACAGTATTTTCATCTGTAGATAACCCAGATAACCAACACATATTAGCACTACTATAAAGAAATATTTTTAAATCACATGGAAAAAAATCAGCTTTTTTTTTTTTTTTTTTTTTTTTAAATTGTAATGAGTTCCAAGCTGTGGATAAGCTGCTGGCTGAGGGTCTCTGGGCATTACTCCTCTCCACCTCTGTCTTCTGGGGGTTATCACTCATTCACAGGCAAACACATAATTTACTCTGCAGTGCCCAATTTCCCTTCCCCTTCTCTGTTTGAAGGACATTTTCATCCTTTCTCTATCAAAGGGCTCCTTCTTCCCTTCCATCTATTGTCTTTTTTTACTTTTTTCTTTTTTTGGTTGCTCCAAGTCTTTCCAAATTTACCATTTCATACTGATTTTTTTTCATGCCCATGCAACTTGCCCCAGAAACCTGGCAAGGAAATTCAATGTTCAGCAGCTGTTCATAGAGCTAAACCCAATGAAAATGTAAACAGAGACCAACAAATCAAAGAGAGTACAAAACCCCCCACCCTTCAACAAGCTGGAACAACAGGAATTTGGTTCTCTGTTTCTACTATGAAAAAATTCTCTGATGAGAGGAGGCCCTAAGCAACTTCATCTCATTCTTGTGTAGAGTGAGAGCAACCCACTAGCATCAGGGGTGCCGTGGAGGTGTAACAGGGAGAGGAGAATCTGTCCCACTGCACATAGGGTGAGCACAAAAGTCTGTAAACTCTTAGAGTGGGTAAAGAGGGAGAGAATGCAGTGAATGTGGAAAAGGGAAAAGCAACACAAGAGCAGGATAGAAAGTGTCCCGATGAGATGAAGGGGACTAGAAGCATCGTGATGATACACTGGGAGGGACCAAAGCTCGAAGCTCACCTGTCTCATTAGAGAAGCAGGTTTTATGAAACTTCCCCATGTAAAACTCCAGCCCGATGATGGCAAACATCACGATGGCGAAGAAGAGGAGCAGCCCAATCTGAAGCAAGGGCACCATCGCCTTCATGATGGACTTGAGGACAACCTGCAAGCCTGTGGGGACAAGGAAAAACATGTAATCAGTGAGAGAAGGAGAACAAGGGTTTGGGTTTGGGGGCAAGGCAGGAGAGAGGGGCCGTCTAAGGGGAAGTTCAGGATTGGCAATACCACGCCGTGCTGCTCTTCCCAGGGTGCTATAAAAAAGATGCTACAGCCATAATGCACTCAAGATGCGAGACAGAATCCAGAGAATTATCTTTTTCTGACCTCTTTTCATCAGATCAGAGATTCAAAGGTCTCTTAAGCTTCAGAGGCAGAGAAAGGACTTTTCCTGAAGCCAGCGGAGTGCCAAGACTCAGCCTGGAGCCGGGCCGGGTCCTCAGGGCAGATCCCGGAGCAGCGCGGGGCACGGCCCGGTCCCCCCGTCCCAGGGCGGGCGGGAGCGCCGGGCTGCACCGCAGCCGCCTCTGCCTCCGGGACACACGGCACAGCCGCGATGCTGCCGTGCCTATCGCACCCCGCTCCTGCAGAAACAAAAACCTGTCTCCGGGGCTATCCGTCCATAGCTTGTTCACTGGGACTAGAACTCATTTTCAATTAAAACCAGGGAAGATAAAGTGAGAGTGGTTGGAGAGATGGAGGTGTCAGATAACATCATACAGATGCACACAACAAAAAAAACTTCAGCGATAAGAAGCAGCTGAAAACCACCTTGGTGGCCTGTCCTAAAGTATGTAGAATGAAGGATCATCATTGTCTTGCCACCTTGTACAGCACTACTGAGGTCAATACAGGTGCATGCAGAAAGAAAAAGCATGAAGAACTGTTGGACGGGAAAAATACTGAGAGCATAGAAGAAAAGTATACACCATGCTTGTGTATGAGTGTACCTCAGAGGATGTACATTTAATACAGGAAAAAGAGCACACAACTTTCACAGCATTGCTAAAAACATGAGAGCAATTAATGTTCTGTGAGAAGACAGTGTGCTGGTCCAGGACACATCACCAGGTGGGAGAGCATGTTCCTCCTGGGGGGAACATGAGACCCACACCAGGACAGGGACACCCCTGAGGGGCCACCCTACTTCTCTGACATCCTTAGACTGTCACTACCACAACACCATATTGCCTTGCATAGGCAAGAAGTCCATGAAAAAACAGCCAGCAGCATCTCCTTATTAGAGATCCTGCTAATAAATGGCACCATTCCCAAGCCTAGCCAAGGACCTCTCCTGTGTGGGAATTCAGATCCAAGCCCTTCCTAAGAAAGGATGCTGATTTCAGGAAATTTTGGTGCTGTTATTACAAAGCATGACCCCTTGCTGTATTTCTACAGCACCGACCTTTCAGTCCTGAAGCAGACAGGGAGATGGTGGAGCTGATGCCCCAACCAGCTGCCCAGGAGGAGAGGGAGCTGCCTGGCTGCCAAGGGTTTAATGCAGAGAAGAGCAGAGCATCCCACAGTTCCCTTTCACTTGCTCTTGCTGGAGGGAAAAACCTCTCTGTTCCACCCTCGGAAATTAAATCCCCTCCTGAAGGACATGAGCAACGGTGGGGGGACTTGAATGGTTTCAGGGCATCAGCAAGGCATGATGCAGCTCCTCACTGGAGCATTCAGACCCTTCACATTAGCATGTAAAATATATCAAGTTGGCCACTGGGTAGGCAAGACCAAATCCTATGTGCTCTTTCCCTTTATTTTTTTCCCCTTATTAAAGAGGTAAAGTTCCCAGCACGAGATGCTCAGCTGGTTAAAACTGTCAGAAGGTCCAAGCTCAGGGCTGGGGGGCCTGGAAGCTGCAAAATTTGGGTCTCAGATCTTCACACCCCAGAAAATTAATTCCACCCCAAAGGTTGTATTAGCTCAAATCCCTGCTGCTCATCTGCAAATTTAGGAGCGCACCGCTGAAATCAGCTGGCTGTACACAAAACAGGATGACAGAAAATCAGAACCCAACAAGGGCAGCAGCCACAGACCGTGAAGAAGCAGGGGAAGAAAATATTGCTCAGAAAAGCATGTAACACCCCAAAAGCTACAGAGCACCTTTGGCTGTGAAGACGACATTATTATGACACTCACTTGGGATTCCTGATACCAGCTTCAGGGGTCGTAACACTCGGACAGCTCGCAGGGTCCGCAGGTCAAAATCAGTCCCAGCAGTTGCTAGAATCCTAATTGTAAAAGGGGGAAGAGAGGAAAAATTGAGATTGAACGCAAATTCCTCTTTCCAAAGCATGTTGTATAAAACCAGCAAATATTCAAGCTGCTTTAAACTTTATACCTGTGATCACATTGCAAATTGTGTCCACTGAAAACCATCAATTCATACACTCCTCCAGAGCTGCTAAGTCCTTCTCAGACTATAAGAAAATCCGCAATATCTGCCCGCTTATGAGGCCATTTACGCATAGCAAGCTGTCCTGGTTCTGACCATTAAAGAGCAGCACCCTGTGCTTATAGGAAAGCATACACCGTTTTTCAGAAGGAGACAGCGAGAGGGAAATAAACCCCTCAGTTATGCTAGAAATTACCTGCTAGAGCTTATCCTTTCTAATAAATTCCAAAATCCCTCAAGTACTGATGTCTGATGTTTCCTAATATCTGAAGCAGTTTCTAGTTATACAGTTTACTCTGTGTGTGCAAAATTAATTTTTGTTCAGAGCATCTTAAGAAGAATATCCAGAGAACAGGGTGCAAGTATTTTCTCCGATACACTGCAGTAACTCTGATAAGAAATACAGCCCCCCAAACCAGAATTTAAACTTAAAAATGTAAGTGCTCTGCACATAAAATGAAATGGCTTCACTGTTTTGGGGCACAGCAAAGGAAGAAGTATTGTCACAGTGTCCATAAGCCACAACAATGTAAAATCCTTAAGTGAAGACCCTGCAAGGCACACTACCCCACAGAGAGCATGGAAAAACTGTGTTCATTAATTACTGCAGCACTTCCTATGATGCTTCAGCAAAAATATTCTTGATTTGAGACAGGGCTCCCCTAACACAAGCCAGCCACACAGTTAGTTGAGAGCAAAAACCCTCTCACCAGCTTCCCATCGACTGCACCATTTAAAGTGATTATTAGCAATTGCCATTAGTTTTTGCTAGGTTCGTCCCCAGGCTGTTCTACCAAGGTGGAAGTGGCTGAGCCACCAGCCCCGCAGCGGGGTCTGCAGGCCCCCAGCCCCCTGGTACCAAACGTACAAGATGCCACCACTTTGTTAACCACAACTGCTGAAAGCACTGCCCACGGGCACCCAACCCTGACCACAATCTGACACTTTGCCAGCCCTTCCCCAAGAGCTCCAGCAGCAAGAGGGACTCGCAAACCTGGCTGAAAAGTGGGATTCCGGAGCTGCCACAGGCAGAGCTGGAAGGAGGCTGCCAGACTCGGGCAGTGAACCCCAGGCAGTGCTCTGGGGATTAAGCACCCAGGCCCAGCAAGCGACCCGTGCCAGAGCACAGAGATGCTCTGAGAGGTGCAGAGTACCCACGGCGTGCACCCCCCATTTAACTGTGCCTGCCCAGGAGCCCTTTTTCGTGGTGCCTGGTAACAGGCTGCTGTTCAGCAGAGTGGCCAGCTACCATTAAAAAAAAAAAAAAAAAAATACAAGAAAAATCAGAGTTTTTCAAAACGAGACGTTTAGTTTTAGTATGTAATACTTATTTTGCAGGATGTCTGGCAAACTCCGCAGCGGAGGATGTGGCTGTGTAGGGAGCACTCACAGCACAGCTACCCTTGGATAAAAACCCTGTCCTTGACTTACTGACTGACTTAGCATGGCTGCCAAGCATGGGCCAGGGAAGAGCAGGATCAGCATTGCTCTGCAGAAAGGGCCAGACTCCATCAGCAGGAGGTGCTGGAGATCAGGAAAAAAGCATGCTGAGATGTTGGATGGCAAGAGAGGCAGCAGCAAGCCAGGACCTGAGCAGCAGAGTGTGTATTCTATCAGACACCTGTCCCTACATTTTTACAACCAGAAAATTCACATTACATCAGCTCTATCGAAGCAGCTTGAGCAGAAGCAACAGGAGATATTTTAAACCAATAACCATCACATGCAGAGACTTCTAATTTGATCTTCTGCACCCATGCCAATGATTTCATTCCTCTTCCCCCATCCTTCCATCCTCACAACTTAATTGCTCACTTATAAACCTCTGCAGTCTGGGAATAACACACACTTCAAGTCAAAAGATAATCTCAAACATCCACCTTGGATGTTGCTACTAACAGCACAATTAGTCTCCAGTGAGCTAAGATGGATTTGTGCTGTCATCAGGCAGAGCCCTGGTTCCTGGTACAAGCTGAGAGGAGGGGTGCTTGATACACTTATCGTTTTGTTTCTAAATTCAAAGAGAAAATGGCAGCAAATGGGGGACACCATCAATTACTCCCAAGGTGCCAGGAAATGTTCCAGTGGCTGGAGATCTTCATTCCAGTTTTGTCTTCCCAACAGGCTCGATATCTGCTCAAACTATGGCAACACTCCCATCTCCCCCACCCCCCCCCCATCAAACAGCCTAATCATTCATTAATTCTCACATCACTAGCACTGTGATCCCCAGGCTAACCTACACAGGGCATCCTACAGCCCATCAGATGGAGATCTGGTCCATGGATCATATCAAATCACAGTCGAATCGTGCAGACCATCCATGCCCATATAGCTGAGCGGTCACTGCTGCATCTGCCTGTGAACCAGCCAGTCCTTAAAAACAATACAACCCTGTCCAGATTTTGCCTAGAGAGAAACAAAAAAAAAAAAAAAAAAAAAAAAAATACAGCTGCATCCTAAACAAAGCCACTTTTGGTGGAAGAAAGAGAAGACTGACGGGATGAGGTGGTTATTCTAGGTCTAACACCCCGTATTCGAGCCTTGCAGGTAAATGAGGCAGGTGCTGAGAAAATCCAGGTGGGCATCCAAATGTTTGCTGCACCAGTCGAAGCGGGGAGGGCTGGATGCTGCAGCCTTCTCACACTGTGTGCTCACAGCCGTGGCTCTGCGGCCCCAGGCAGGGCTGTCCCCACACTGGAACAGGGGGAAGAAGGGCCCTGGGGATTTTAGAAGTGTTATGGGGTCAGTGTCCACCCCAGGAGCCCCGGCATATGGGGTCTTACTGCTCTGAAGGACCCACTGGCAGAAAGCTGGTGCCCAGTAATTGCCAAGTAGCAGGTTCTGGCAGCTGGAGCCCAGCAAAGCAGCTCAGCAGGGGGAAGACATGCCAGGGTGGAGATGGTGTCTTTTCTCCCTGCAAAACCAAAGCTAATTTACAGCTGCTCAGCTGTCCGTTCCCCTAAACTGTTCGCTGGCATGTGTGGAAAAATGCCCCAGTGAGGGAAAGGCCTTAATTAACTTCGTGGCATTTGCTTAAGTGCCATCTTTCTATTTTACTTTTTCTCCCACTCCAGCTGAAAGCTCGCAGAAGCCACTCTGAGTTAGGCGGCCACAACAAGTTGGAAATTATCATTAAAAATAAGAGAAATAGGGACATCAAAGGAGCTGGCTGACAAGCATGTCCTGACAATTCTGCCAAAGCATCCCTGGCTGCAGAGCGAGCAGCTGAGAACAAAGCAAAGGTGACGGGTGAGCCAGCGCCGGAAGAGGAAATCAGCTGTGAAAGGTAAAAAATAGCAAAAGAGGAGATTTTAGGAGATAAACTCACAAAGAATAAATGGCTTGATCTGCAGCCCTTTTTTGTAACTTAACGGGTTGTACAGAAACACTGAGATTTGATAAGCTTAGGATGTCATCTTTGATAGCACTTCAAGTGTTTAAGCGCAACAAATTCTCATTACATAAGCTGCTCCGTGTAATTTGCCTTTTTTACAAGCAGTATGGACAACCATCAAACCTGTCTTGTTCATATGCTGCTGTGGAGGATCTGGGCACACATCGTGCCAGCCCAGCAGCGCTCAGGATCACTGCACTGATTCCTTGCTTTCATGATAACTCGGTTAAATGCTGCTTTCTGTATCACCACCTCCACTAACAAGCTCTGACTGACATCTGTTCCCAGAGACAGGCCAAATTTGTGATAAATGCTTGATAACTTTTGTTCTAGTAAAGCCTGGAATAAATCACAAAAGCAGCTTATTCCTTTGGGCATAAAAGAAAGCAAAGAATAAAGGGAAAGTTCACTTTCTGAACGTTATGCTAACATAAATAATTAGCAATCCATTTCTTAAAGTATGTCGGAGCTCAGGATTTCTGTGTACTGGTTCAGCAAGACACATGCTGTTATACAATGCTGCCCTTTCCAGAGCTACTTGATAACAAATCTTACTGAAACCCTGACCAAAGAAAATGCCTCGAAGCTCCTTCAAGCTTAGCTCCAGATCTCTAAATCCCAAGGACTGGAGTGGGGAAAAGCTAACCCTGCTCCTCAGGATCATCCCCACCTGGTCTTCTTCCTGTACCTTAATGGCCTTTTAGTGGATTTATTTCAGCTTTTCCAGATGATCTCCTGGGGAGCAGGTGGCAAAGGTGCTTCGCATCTCCCCCAAGGCAGGAAGAGGAGGAGGAACAGAAACACAGGAGATGTTGCAAGTGAGAGCCAAGAATAGACAATCAAAAATACAGGGTTTTTTATACATGTCTCTGCAACCACACCTTGGGTCCAGTCTCAGCAAAGAGCAGCCGGTGAAGCCAGGATCAACATACACATATCTGCAGGTGATGGAGCGTGTTTTCTGCCCAGTCTCCTGGCATCACTGTCTATAAATCACAACAGAGGCGGCATGAGATGTGCAGGAGAGAACTGGAACTGGCTGCAAGTCCAGCTGCTTCAGCGTGTTTGCTTGCGAGCAGGTAACATACAGTTACAGCAAGAAGAAGCAAGATTAATAACTGAGAATGATTAACACTTCCAAGGGGATCTTGCCACTGGACAACACTGGTGCCAGCGCAGGTTGTGCTAGAGGAGGAATTGCTGCCATAAATTGTAGGCATTTTTAACATAACCTTGCTATTCATTATAAACTCTAGTCCTAGAAAGTAAGTGGAAACAGCAGTTTTTTCAGAGACCTTATCCCAAGCACCTGCTTCTAATAACCGAATCAATCTCCTCCGCAGGAATAGGAGGACTAAATACCCACCAGACAGCTTCCCTCAAAAAAAGATAAAACTAGCCAGCAGTACAGCAGCTGTCTTATGAAAAGAAATAGCAAC